AATTATATTCAACAATTTTTATGAGCTTGAGGCCGTTTTTAGTGAAAGCTTATTGTGGAAAAGCAAAAATAATTTGAAAAAATGGTAGAAGTGATAGCTGTTTCGGAAATCACCACATTTCCTCATCAGACTTCTTTCAGTAGGATTCGAACCGACGATCACCACTGCCTCAGCCAGTTGCCTACGCACTGTGCTAAGTTTGCCTTATTAATTCTTGTTGCTTATTTCCACTATTTCACTTTGCTAACCCAACTGCAATCAAGCGCAGCTATTCCGCTGCAATTCACTTGATCATGTCGTTGTTAGTTTTGTTGGTTTTTGTTAATATTTCTATTATTAGAATGTTTAACTTTTTTTAGGTGTGCTCGTCCTTAAGTTACTTGTTTTTGTTATGTTATGGCCTTATAACAATTATATTCAACAATTTTTATGAGCTTGAGGCCGTTTTTAGTGAAAACTTATTCTGGAAAAGCAACAATTATTTGAAACAAGTAAGTAAGTCTAAGTTCGGGCAGAGCCGAACATTAAATACCCGGCGCAAGTATTAAATATATGTTTTTTCACCTTTCCGAAACCTACCGCTAGATGGTGAACCGGGGTGTATCAATTTTGAGTAAACTAGCGTCCTTCAATTTCGAAATATTGCAGTTTCAAGCATTTCTGAAATTTACCGTTATATGAAAAGCGGCTGTAATTTTAGTCCGATTCCAATAATTTTTAACGTTTTGCTTTTATGCGGCAAGCACAATAAAAATACCGAGTTTGGTACAAATTGGTAGAACGGTAATTGGGCGGTGCCACGCCCATTTTCCAAAATTTTACCATAAGCATATTTCTTGGTAAAGAATTGTTGCAACCATCAATTTTGAATAAATTAGCTTTAATATATACTGATTTATCGAGGATTTCGTATTTCTCGAAATTACCGTTATATGGGATGTGGGCGTGTTTATTGGCCGATTTTTAAAATTTTCTGCCATTTGGTATGCTGTACCAGGGCCAACAACTGTGCCAAGTTTGGAATAAATTGGTGCAGCGGTTACCAAGATATACACATATAACCATAAG